TGACGGCTTTGGTTACATTTATTAAACGGTTTACAAGCATGAAAACTTGTCAATCAACTGTTGTTATTGTTATAAACAGCCTCCTGGTGCTTCGGAGCTCATTAACCGTTTAATAATTGTAAACAAAGCCGCCAAAGATTGAGAGAAGATGGACAGGTTCGTAAGTGCTTTCATGAATCTGGCCCTTGATTCCTAATCATTCTTTCAAAGACATGTGTGATATTAATGCAACTGGTCTGTAGTTTTTTGCCTAAGCTTTACTACCTCCCTTGTGCAGATGAACTTTATCTGCCGACTGGGCTTGGGCTAGACGGTAGAGTAACGGTCTCACTTCATGCAGGTCGGCGTTCAATCCCCGACCATCCAAGCGGTTTGGCATCATTCCTTCCCCCCGTCCCCCCCCTGTCCCATCCCAAATCCTTATCCTGACCCCTTCCCAGTGCTATATAGTCGTAATGGCTTGGCACTTTCTGCTCATAGTTCCCTTCCCTGGCTACTGGTATCCCTGGCTACTGGTATCCCTGGCTACTGGTATCCCTGGCTACTGGTATCCCTGGCTACTGGTATCTCCCCTGTATCCAGGCTGTTACTCCATATCACCTTGAGCGCTCGCGCTACTGGTACTTTATATTTCTTTATGAATATTGAATTCCACGAGTCAGGCCCAGGAGCTGAGTGCATGGGCATGTTGTCAATTTCTCTCTCAAAGGCTTCCGTGTTCATGTTAATATCAGTTATATTGTTAAGGGTTTGGATGTTATTCATAAAGAAGTTGTCCGGATCTTCAACTTTCATGCTGTTTATTGGGGTCATCTATCCATCTGTCCGTACATCTGTCCCACATACCTACTATCCCGGATCAGCCGGGCTGTGGTGGGTATGTGGGCCTGCGGGCCGCTCCAAGCAACAGCCTGGTGGACCAAACTCTCACAAGTCAAGCCTGGCCTCGGGCCGGGCTTGGGGAGTAGAAGAACTCCCAGAACCCCATCAACCAGGTATATGTGGGCCTGCGGGCCGCTCCAAGCAACAGCCTGGTGGACCAAACTCTCACAAGTCAAGCCTGGCCTCGGGCCGGGCTTGGGGAGTAGAAGAACTCCCAGAACCCCATCAACCAGGTATATGTGGGCCTGCGGGCCGCTCCAAGCAACAGCCTGGTGGACCAAACTCTCACAAGTCAAGCCTGGCCTCGGGCCGGGCTTGGGGAGTAGAAGAACTCCCAGAACCCCATGAAGCAGGTATCCTCCCCCAGTACCACCGCCCGGCCCCGTACTGGCAACCTGTGCACTAAATTGGCCGTCCGCCATTTTATTTATTGGGCTGCGCACTACCGCCGCCGCCACTCCGCACTGCGCAGGTTCCACGAAAACGTTCCTTGTGTGGCTGAGGAGTTTACGATTCGGGACGTGAGTGCCGGGTGGTGGTGGTGGGGGTGTGGTGGTGGTGGTGGTGGTGGTGGTGGTGGTGGGGTGTGGAAGGCGCCGCGAACATAAAGCAATCAGGCTTCGATTCCTGCCTGGGCTGCATATTAAGAAGAGTCCGGTAGCATATCGGCATTGGAGTCATTCATCTCTCTCGCTCTAGTACCCGGGCTGAGAGGTATGAGCTACGAGGAGAGACTACGGGAATTAAACCTCACTTCGCTGGAAGACAGAAGAGTTAGGGGGGACATGATCACCACGTTAAAGATTCTCAAGGGAATTGATAGGGTAGATAAAGACAGGCTATTTAACACAAGGGGCACACGCACTAGGGGACACAGGTGGAAACTGAGTGCCCAAATGAGCCACAGAGATATTAGAAAGAACTTTTTTATTGTCAGAGTGGTTGACAAATGGAATACATTAGGCAGTAATGTGGTGGAGGCTGACTCCATACACAGTTTCAAGTGTAGATATGATAGAGCCCAATAGGCTCAGGAACCTGTACACCTGTTGATTGACGGTTGAGAGGCGGGACCAAAGAGCCAGAGCTCAACCCCCGCAAGCACAACTAGGTGAGTACACACACACACACACACACACACACACACACCCCACACACACACCCCACACACACACCCCACACACACACCCACCACACACACACCCACCACACACACACCCCACACACACCCCACACACACACCGTCAAGGACCTGTTCTCCACAAACCTCATCTTCCCGCTGCTCTTTTGCCTATTGACTTAATCTTTCCCTCGCATCAGATTTATGTTATTGTCCATTTGTTCAATAATTCAATACTTATAGTCGAGTGAATACAAGCGCGGAGGACATAAATTATTGGCAGATTGTAACACATGTTACAGCATATGTGGCCCGTGAGAGGAGGGGGGTGATGCGCATTTGTTTTGGCTAGGAATTTATGAGATCGAAAGCCATGTTTTGTATTGTCTGCCTCGCATTTCTATTGGTCACTCACCTTCTTTAATGGTGGGATCGTAGGATGTTTTAATGATCTGGGGAATTGATGTAGCCAGCGTGTTGGTGGCGTGGTTTTAAACTTGTATAAAGAGTGTATAAACACGCATAAATCAATATTATATTTAGAATTATCGTAGACTTAAGCGGGTGTGGGGAGTCGTGGTGGCTGGAGTGGGGTAGGCTAGCCGGCCGCCACTGGGAAAAAGATAGCCTCGTAGACCCTCATTGTTTGAAGAAACCGGCCACAAATTTATGTATATAAATGAACCCAGTAACAAAACGCAAATACATCGTAAATAATATCACGCCGAGGGTTAGATGGCGCCGATGAAGAAGCGCTTATGGTTTGGTTCTTGTGAGAATTATCAAGAGATGAGCAACAACAAAACTTAAAAAGGTTTCTGTGTGGTATTGGCCATTACGTCTCGGGCACAAAAGGGGCGAGTGATAAGACTTTGGGGAATGAATGAACCTCTTCAATATTTTACAGCGGCTTCGGGAAGGCATTCCTTCCTTAGTGTATAGCTTTATGTCGCTCGATGCCCGGAGTAGCCAACCTTACCGCGGTACCTTGGGATGATTTCGGGGCTCAACGTCCCCGCGGCCCGGTCCTCGACTCGACGACCTGGTTGCTGGATGGGGCTGTTCGCAGCCTGACGTATGAGTCAGTCTAGTTGATGAGGTATGCTTTGGAGGTGTTTATCGAGTTCTCTCTTGAACACTGTGAGGGGTCGGCCAGTTATGTCCCTTGTGTGTAGTGGAAGCGTGTTGAACAGTCTCGGGCCTCTGATGTTGATAGTTCTCTCTTGAACACTGTGAGGGGTCGGCCAGTTATGCCCCTTATGTGTAGTGGAAGCGTGTTGAACAGTCTCGGGCCTCTGATGTTGATAGTTCTCTCTTGAACACTGTGAGGGGTCGGCCAGTTATGTCCCTTGTGTGTAGTGGAAGCGTGTTGAACAGTCTCGGGCCTCTGATGTTGATAGTTCTCTCTTGAACACTGTGAGGGGTCGGCCAGTTATGTCCCTTATGTGTAGTGGAAGCGTGTTGAACAGTCTCGGGCCTCTGATGTTGATAGTTCTCTCTGGAACACTGTGAGAGGTCGGCCAGTTATGTCCCTTGTGTGTAGTGGAAGTGTGTTGAACAGTCTCGGGCCTCTGATGTTGATAGAGTTCTCTCTCAGAGTACCTGTTGCACCTCTGCTCTTCAACGGGGGTATTCTGCACATCCTGCCATGTCTTCTGGTCTCACGCGGCCAATGCCAAATGATGCCAAACACCATTCACTCAATATTATTCACTAACTCTACACAACATGTGCAGGGAGCTGTCTATAAAGTCTAAGACTGTCTGTCTAAACTAAGAAAGACCCTCAGATGTTTCTTAGTTTATACCGACGTTGATCATTCGCCTTTGTGACCTTTTAACAGTTAATCATTTATTATGCACCCCATACCCATCCCGGGGGTGGTGGTGAAAAGGGTTACAGAGGTACATAATGGGTTCAGGAACTCTGGCTCTTGGGCTCTGTAGCAGTAAATAGAGCTGGGGGGGGGGGAATGTGTAAAATGCCAGGTTTGTGTCTCGGAGAGACTGCGGGATCCGCGTGAGAGCAGGAGCAATCCCGGTTGCAATTCCTTTGACCATGTCGGGGGGGCCTTAGTCGATTAATGCGCGTCTGGGATCATCCTAAACGTAAGTTCGAACCCTCATCAGGGCCCCTTACCTTGAGGTTACCTTGAGGTGCTTCCGGGGCTTAGTGTCCCCGCGGCCCGGTCGTCGACCAGGCCTCCTGGTTGCTGGACTGATCAACCAGGCTGTTAGACGCGGCTGCTCGCAGCCTGACGTACGAGTCACAGCCTGGTTGATCTCCCTGGTGGATTTATTCGCTAGTTCTTGTATTTGTAGTATGAAGATCTTGTACTACTAATACCAATAATCGCCAACTGAACCTAAACACCTGGGAGCCGGTCGGCCGAGCGGACAGCACGCTGGACTTGTGATCCTGTGGTCCTGGGTTCGATCCCAGGCGCCGGCGAGAAACAATGGGCAGAGTTTCTTTCACCCTATGCCCCTGTTACCTAGCAGTAAAATAGGTACCTGGGTGTTAGTCAGCTGTCACGGGCTGCTTCCTGGGGGTGGAGGCCTGGTCGAGGACCGGGCCGCGGGGACACTAAAGCCCCGAAATCATCTCAAGATAACCTCAAGATAATCTCAAGATAACCAAACCAATATATAGCACAATATGCTAATATATAATAATTTATATTTGAGAAAATTTCTATTTTGAATGAACAGTATGTTAAAATTGATGAATGCGTCTGTGGGTTCGACCGCTGGATGGAATGGACTTTGTGCAACCAGTACCCTGTTCTAGCAGTAAATAAGTACCTAGTAGTTAGTTACCTTGTGCTGTATCCTGGGAACGGTCAGTAGTTCGACCTTTGGGGGCGGACCTCGAAATAAGCCCTAACATGTATATATATATACACACTGGCTGCCTGTCCCCCTGAGACGATGAATTACTAATAAAATAAAAGTCAAAGAACGGGATAGTAATATGATTTTTTTCCTCTTGTTGACAGTGTTGGGAGACGTGTGACCTACTGGCTACCAACTTCCCTATATGGAGCATCACCTGCGGCCAGCGGGATATATGTGTGAGTATACCTTATAGTCTCTCTCACCCGTCTCTCTCACCCGTCTCTCTCACCCGTCTCTCTCACCCGTCTCTCTCACCCGTCTCTCTCACCCGTCTCTCTCACCCGTCTCTCTCACCCGTCTCTCTCACCCGTCTCTCTCACCCGTCTCTCTCACCCGTCTCTCTCACCCGTCTCCCCTTTCACCAGTTGGTGAGAGTAATTTTCCCCTATTCTGACGATGGAGTAATTACCCGCGTAAGCTTCTGAGCTCAAGTGCCTCTCATGTTCCTTCTTTTAGTCCAAAATAAGTTTTTTTTTATTCTTTTTCACTTTGATTCGTAATCTCTTCAACACGTAAGTGAAGTATCTTAGTTATCATTTTGTCCAAAGTAATTCTTTTAGGATACAGACCCACTTTAGGTGGTCCCGGGTTCGATCCCGGGCGCCGGCGAGAAACAATGGGCAGAGTTTCTTTCACCCTATGCCCCCCTGTTACCTAGCAGTAAAATAGGTACCTGGGTGTTAGTCAGCTGTCACGGGCTGCTTCCTGGGGGGTGGAGGCCTGGTCGAGGACCGGGCCGCGGGGACACTAAAGCCCCGAAATCATCTCAAGATCTCTAGGTGTCCCAAGTTACTTTTCTCTCGTCTGAAGATACTGAAATTTGGCGTAGTCCAAAGTAGACTTATTAGTGTCATCTGTTTAGAGGAGTTAATCGTTTCCACCTGGCCTCACCTTTCGATAATTCCGAGGATCAGCGTCTGCACGGCCCGGTCTCTTGGCCAGGCCTGGCTGGTGGTCTGGTCAAACAGGCTGTTGGAGGCAGCTGCTTGCAGTGTGACATATTAATCACAGTCTGGATGATCAGGTATCATTTGAAGGGGTATATTAAGGGCTCTTCTGAAGACTGTGAAAGGGAGGTTGGTTAACTTGCCCTTATGTATAGAGGAAGTGTAGAGGAAGTCGTCTTGGGTCCATGATGTTGATGGGTCTGCCTCAGCATCTCCAAAGGAGACCTGATCAACCAGGCTGTGATTCATACGTCAAACAGCCTGCTTGACCAGTCCAGCAACGAAGAGGCCTGGTCGACGACCGGGCCGCGGGGACGCTAAACCCTAGAAAAACTTCAAAGGTAACTCCAAGGTAGCATACCTATTACACCGTCTGGTATTCAGTGGGGTTGTTTTTGCACATCCTGCCATACGTTTTGGTCTCGTGTGGTGGTATTTCTCTGTGCAGATTTGGAACCAGTCCAGCTAAGGAATACAGATTTAAACATCTTAAGCTGTCCCAATAATTTAGATGTTCTACTGCCTATGTAGAGCCGGTCGGCCGAGCGGACAGCACGCTGGACTTGTGATCCTGTGGTCCTGGGTTCGATCCCAGGCGTCGGCGAGAAACAATGGGCAGAGTTTCTTTCACCCTATGCCCCTGTTACCTAGCAGTAAAATAGGTACCTGGGTGTTAGTCAGCTGTCACGGGCTGCTTCCTGGGGGTGGAGGCCTGGTCGAGGACCGGGCCGCGGGGACACTAGAGCCCCGAAATCATCTCAAGATAACCTCAAGATGTATTCACTCCTGTGGTTGGTATAGGTGGTGTCATGCTTCACCACTTGTACTAACAAGAAAATGTGGTTCATCAGAAAATTGGAGAGTCGTATTTTCTCTAATTATGCTTATGACACCTCAGAATAATTTTGCACTTCCTACCATATTTTTAAATGTTGTATTTTGTACTCTTGTATGTTGTATTTTGTTCTCTTGTATGCTGTATTTTGTTCTCTTGTACCTTGTAATCTCACTGAACAGGTTTGAGACGTAACTTTCCAGTATTTTCCATATATTATGAGATTTATCTCGATCTACATTCTAAATCTTGAGGTTATCTTGAGATTATCTTGAATACTACAGTAGTAATACAGTAATTCATGGCTGGTCCATGAACCAATAGGGCTTTAATAGGGCCAATAGAACCAATAAAGTTTACACACTGCCACCTCAAAGGCAAAAGCAGTGTTTGGAACATTCACATACATACATACTAGAGACTACATGAACACATACATACTAGAGACTACATGAACACATACATACTAGAGACTACATGAACACATACATACTAGAGACTACATGAACACATACATACTAGAGACTACATGAACACATACATACTAGAGACTACGTGAACACATACATACTAGAGACTACATGAACACATACATACTAGAGACTACATGAACACATACATACTAGAGACTACATGAACACATACATACTAGAGACTACGTGAACACATACATACTAGAGACTACATGAACACATACATACTAGAGACTACATGAACACATACATACTAGAGACTACGTGAACACATACATACTAGAGACTACATGAACACATACATACTAGAGACTACATGAACACATACATACTAGAGACTACATGAACACATACATACTAGAGACTACGTGAACACATACATACTAGAGACTACATGAACACATACATACTAGAGACTACATGAACACATACATACTAGAGACTACATGAACACATACATACTAGAGACTACATGAACACATACATACTAGAGACTACATGAACACATACATACTAGAGACTACATGAACACATACATACTAGAGACTACATGAACAGTTGTTACCATATCTACAGATTTGATAATAGTAAATTGGATGCATGGAATAGGTCTTTATCTTAAGACGTCTTATTTTAAGTTATATTATTATTAATAACCTCAAATTATGTGTTAACACATTTGTAATTAAAATCTAAAATATAAACCTAGAAACTATACTAATACACAAAACCCCCTTATTGCAACAGCCCACAAATTTGAAGCAAGAATGATATGATAGAAGATAGAATGCTGCTTAGATATAAGAATAAGCAGTTTTCCCCTAACAGTATATACAAATTAGTGGTATTTATATATAAGGTTATTTTATCACTGTAGAGTATTATTTCTCTGGCATATAAAGTGTTACATGCTTGTGGCATTGCCATACCAGGCAGTGAATAATGACCTTGTTCTGTATTGCAGGAGGCGGGATGTGAAGCGGCGTGTGCTTTCCATTCGTCGCACCCGAAGTCTGTGGTGCCACTCAGTCAACACAACTCCCGCCTTACCCTCGTCTTCAGTGGTTCTGCAGCACAATGGACACTTTCCTGGGGCCGCGAGGCCACCAGGGAGCACGTGGTCTTCGCCCTCTTCACCCGGACTCCCGGCAAGTCCTGGAGCCTTCGCCTCCAGACAGCGGATTTCGGTGCTGGTTTAGACGATGTCCCAAGCGGGTCAGACATGAAACTAGTGGCTGTGGCTGAGTCGGGTGTTCTCTCTGTCATCATTACCCCCTACGCTCCACCTGTTCATTCCAAGGGCATAACGAAGCCTCCGCTTGGCTCGTCCCGCTCACATTCTTCTGGTGAGCGCTCCGAGGTTAATGGTATTGAAGGTGATGCAGCAGCGATGTGGCCATTACTCCATGAGGCGGAAGTGGAGGACTCTGGTTTAGTCGCCGCTCGTGTATGGTGGGTGCCACAGACTCCTCGGGGCGGTGACTACCTGGTTACTTGGGAGGTAGAGGGCGGAGGGCTGAAGGGCCACCTGTACACCGACTTGCCTGAGGTTGACCTGACTCTCTGGCCCGAGACTGTGTACCACGTGCAGGTGGAGCTGGTCACAGGCCCACGCGGCGAAGCTGTCTGTTCCGCTCAACTGACGCTTGATACTCACAATATCACTCTTGCTGCCCATGCCCGCCAGAATGACATCACGCCGACGCTGCCTCTTGTTCATAAAGCTGTGACACCGGTACAGCTGGAGGTAGTGTTGGGCATAGGGGCAGGCATTTTGTCGGCACTTCTAGTGGTGATAGTGCTGATATGGAGGCGAAAACAGGCTAGTGGACTTGCCTATGACGCCACTTCTCCCTCATCCGCTAAGTGGGGTACGTGGAACCGTACTCTGTCGGACCTCACTCTGGACGAGTCCCTAGTTGTCAAGAATCATAAACTACCAGAGTCCAATGTTGGCTTGTCCACGTCCGCACGTACACCACCCTTCCCCGTCTACACCTTGGCTCCACCCACAGATCCTTCATCAACCCTGTTGAGACTGGCACGCCCCACCCACAGCCACGTCAACCTGTATAGCGTGGTACCGCCTAACCAAGAGTCGCGCAGTGTCTCCATCATTTAGATGCTGCAAGATGGGACCCGAAGAACCTATGGTCTTCCACCAACAATATTTTATGGCTCAAGTTTGAATGATGTCATTTGTACCTGGGCACCTTGGTTACCTTGAGGTTACCATGAGGTGCTTCCGGGGCTTAGCGTCCCCGGTCGTCGACCAGGCCTCCTGGTTGCTGGACTGGTCAGCCAGGCTTGTGGATGCGGCTGCTCCCAGCCTGACGTATAAGTCACAGCCTGGTTGCGTCACAGTCTGGCACAATGATGGTTTGTGCGTCACTTGTGCGTCATGGGCAGGCCATGCGTGTGTCAAGGAAGACGAGCTGGTTGAGTAAAGGTAGGCACAAGTTTTTTGTAGGGTGCAGTTGTGTGTGACTTGACTGATGTGTGTGGCAGGTTAAGCTTTGTAAGCTTCACGGAAGGTTGGAACAATGTGTGCTATCAAATATAAAGTGGCTGTGCCAAAGACAGCAGAAGCCATGTGAGTAAATGTACACTGAAACCATGTGTGGCAGTGTGGACTAAAGTAGTGTAAATTACGACTATGACCGATATTTTTTTAATTTTTGGAGCAAGATAAGGTGTGAAATTCCTGTAAATCGCTCTTTGAATTTTCCCATGGATTTTCCTATAGAATGTAAAGGATGCGACTACAACCAAGTATTTTCCAAATTTAGGGAGAGATAATCCCCCCCCCCCCTAAAAAAAAAATCCTGTAAACTTTCATGTGGAGTTTCCTATAGAATATATAGGGTATAACTTCAATTGGGCATTTTCAAGTTTTGGGAATGAGATGAGGTGACAGTATATTTCCCATGGATTTTCTAATATAACTTAAATGGCACGACCATGACTGGGCATTTTCAAATTTTGCAAAAGAAATAGGATGTAAAATTTCAATAGATTTTCCTATAGACTTTCCATGTAGACTTTCCACAAACTTTCGTGTGGATTTTCCTGTATACTTAAAAGGATAAAACTACAGCTAGTGGTTTTTTGTTTATGGGAGTGAGATATGGCCGAAATTCACATGGTTTTTACCATAAACTTTTACCATGGATTTTCTGAATATTTTAAAGGATGTGGCATAGATCAGCCCAGGTGTGGCAACCTGGGCTACTCCGGGTTGATACCCGTGCCCGCATTACCTCCCAATCAATGCCCGTGCTAGCCACGTTTCCCGATTGATATCTGCCCCAGTAGCGTAAATTGAGACATAGACCGTGCACCACACCTGCGACAGGTGTTCAATTGCATACCTGAGGCAAGTAAATGCGGTGTCTGCTTCTCCGGGGATTCCAGGGGTGCGCGTGTGTGGTGGTGCAGGCCCATTGTGTGTCGTCGGGGTGGCTTGGGGCGCCGTGTGTGTGTGTCTAGTGGGGTGTTGCGAGTCGCTGTAGAAGAAAGTATTCCGCCCACCGCAAAAACACACCACAACACATCACGATGTTTACACTCTCACGCGGGAAGTTTCAAAAAAAAATTTCTATAGGCAGGCAAGCTATAGAGGCAAGCGAGTGATAGATAGTTTCATCAGACGTTTAGGAGGAGGTAGTATAGATATTACACTTTCACCATTATCATATAGCTACTTCAATTATGATCATCCCCCAACTCTAATCCTTCGCAGAGGGGTGAAATTTTCTTCATTGCTACTTATTATTAAAGACTGTGATAATAAGGCTGTGTTCCGCACATCTCGATAATAAGGCTGTGTTCCACACATCTCAAGCTCAAACCTTAGATGTGGGTTGGTGTAAACTGAGTTGGGGGCTGAGGAATAGATTCATATCAACATCTGATAGTAAACCTTGTTGTTGACTGTCTGTAAGTAATATACTCCCGTCCAGTAAAGCCTCTACATTCAAATCGTTTTCTGGGTGCCTAGGAGATTTTATCTCGGAGAGAGAGATGCCCGCAAACACCGCATCATCAATACTGCCACTCATACCCATGAGATGATCATAGTCACTCTCCTGTGTAATAGCTCCCCTCTTTCTTTCAGTTTCTTCCGTCCTATTATTACTACTCCTGCTATTGCCCACACCACGAATTCCTGTTAAGAGGCTATGGGATAACCCCTCTTCAACTGCATTCATAAAATGTGGTAAGTTATTATTACCATTACCAGCTTCTCTATTTCCCGCAGCAGTAAATTTTAAGCATGTATCAAGCAGGTATAACGCCAGTAGCAAGGTCGGCTCTGTCAGCTACACCAGCATTAGCAGTAGTGGAGTGTGAAGTAAATGTGATAGGGGGAGATGTTACCACCTCACCAGTGCTTGTGTGTATTCCCCCAGGAATATATATTTCCCCCTACGGAGGAGGATCGACGGGAGACATCTCCCGTCACGCAGGGTGCAGTCGCACCTCCACAGATCTCCAGTATCATCTATTGATACTGGTAATGGCTCAAAAGGGCCTCCACGTACGGGCTATTCATGCCCGTGCCACCTTTTGGGTGGCTTAATCTTCATCAATCGAGGAGGATCGTCTGCTCTTGTTCTCCAGGAAATCTAAAAAGATCATATTACCATCATAACATTTACACTACTAGCATTATCTTCCCATTAATGTATTATTATTATTTCCATCACACATCATAGCGTGATTTAGCTTGGCTTGGGAACATACCACGAATTATTGCCAGGGTTAACAACCAGACTACTTATGGCTGTTAACTACTCTACTCCCACTTTCAAGTTGTATGATGGAATAGGTGAAACACATTCCATAGGCGAAGGCGATGTTAATCACTACAATGCTGACGTTCTCAGTCCGTCTGGCACCGATGAAGGGACTCAGTCTTATGACGGCTGCGTGGGGTGTCTTCCTGCACTCCCCTTCCCCCTATTAGTGCGTAATAAAAGGCGCAGACACAAGAGTCGACGGATTTCGTGTTATAAAAAATCCGTCGCTTGCTAGTTCGTCACACTTAGAACTGTTAATGTCCCAGGGTGTTATCTCCCCCCGCCCAGTTCCCACTGTAGCGGAGGTAGATGAGCGTGTGGGTGTTGTTGCAGAAGAGATGCAGATGCCGGGTGTAGGTAGGTTTTATTGCAAGGTGTGTTACACCCAAGAAATAAACACTGTTCTCATTCCGTGTAGGCATATGGTAATATGTTCGGATTGTGTAACAAGATGTGACAAATGTCCTGTATGTCTAGGAGATGTGGTACATCTACTTCTCCCTATTATCTCTTAATAAACAAATCTAAAGTTGAATCTTTTATCTTATCTTTATTAATATTATTATTACCGGCTGAGGGTGTTGGTGTGTGGTAAGGATGCACCTCCATCCTCTTGAATGGGTGTATATAACTTGGCCTGACCTAGTAGAGGCAACCACTTCATCCTTACAACACGGCCCCACGACCCTCTGCCGCCGGTGTCCCTCCCACGGTTGGTGACGGGAGCTTAGGTCAAACCCTAGCAATAATACGTGGTGTGTTCCCCTAAGCCGAGCTAAATCAGGCTAAGATGGTTCTTGTTGTTGATATAATAACAAATAATAATAATAATGGGAAGATTGTACTATCCGAGTATATGTTAGGCTAGCATTGTAAACTTTTTTTTAGATTACTTGGAGAATGCTAGCAGCCGATCCACCCCCGGAGGGAATATTTTCATATTCTTGGGAAATACTCACATACACACAAACACCTTGGAGGTGATAACCTCTCCCCCTACTCCAGACGACCATGGTGTTAGCACTCCCTCCCAGGCTGCTGTTGGTGCTGACACTGGTGACACGGATGCTGCTGCAGCTGCTGGTGACACACCTACCACTGCTGCAGCTGCTGCTGCTCCCGTTATAGTAGTAGTAGAAGTAATAACAGTATCCCACATTGTGTAGTTGCTGGCAACTCTAGTACAGTACTAGCAAGACCGGTGATGAGGGGAATAGAGCGGTTGCTAGTGTGAGCAATAATAATAATAATAATAACTCATTATATTTTACGAATGCAGTTGAAGAGGGGCCGTCCCCAAGCCTTTTAACAGGGGGGTGTAGAGTAGGTAATGACACTACTAGCAATATTAGGACTGAAGAAGTTAAAAGAACGAGGGGGGGATATTTCACAGGAGGGTGAGTATCCTGATCTCCCGCCTATGAGTGTAAGTATTGATGATGCGGTGTTTGCCGCGTCACAATCGTCATCGATTGCTGTTTACATTTGGATAATGTAGGTCTTAGAGACAGCCTTGAACTCGGTGATAATAAACAAGTCAATTTAAAATATAATAATAATAATAGTATCAAGGCTAAGTTTATGTTGCTAACAGCGCATGCTTGGAATTTGTATGTGGGGAACATTGCTCAGCTAAGGGAGAGAGAGAATGAATGCCGCGTTTGAAGTATAGCGGAGGTCAGACCGGGATGTGTTTGCCAACCTCGCCCATCTCACTACACCTCAAACCCCTCGACTGAGTTGACTGAGTGATGCTAAATGCGGGCCGTAGTTTGATAGAAGAAAATTCGGTAAACACTAACCTACTGACTTTGAGTTTACTTAGAGACATGCTTCTTGAGGTTATCTTGAGATGATTTCGGGGCTTTAGTGTCCCCGCGGCCCGGTCCTCGACCAGGCCTTCACCCCCAGGAAGCAGCCCGTGACAGCTGACTAACACCCAGGTACCTATTTTACTGCTAGGTAACAGGGGCATAGGGTGAAAGAAACTCTGCCCATTGTTTCTCGCCGGCACCTGGGATCGAACCCAGGACCACTGGATCACAAGTCCAGCATGCTGTCCGCTCGGCCGACTGGCTCCCCAGTAGTGTGAAAGTTCTCAACCCGGGCTCAAATAGGAGTGCGAGAGTGTTTGTGGGGAAAATTTAGGGAAATAATTTATGGAAATTTCACACCTCTCGCTAGCAAAATTTGAAAATACCTAGTCATAGTTGTACCCTTTAAATTACATAGGACTTGAAATTATCATGTAATTTCTCCCATCTCGAATCCCAAAATTTAAAAAAACACCTGTCATTGTCTTGCTTTACACTACCAACTAAAGTCAGGTGTTCTTGAAATACAACTGTACCAATGCATGGTAAAATAGCTTAGATTTTTTTTGGGGGGGTCCAGAAAGGCGAAGGTATTTGACATAGAGATCAGACTGAAACTATATGGTACTCCAGTACTGAACGGTACTGGCAGACTGAAGCCACATGGTTACTAGCAGAGTGTGGATAAAGGCAGACAATCCATGTTGCTGTGATTGACCTAATCTGTACATATTTGTGGTGGTCCCAAATATTCTTTGGGAATCTGTTTAGTCATGTGTGTGTTTTATTGGAAGCCAAAGTTCCTATATTCAAGGGTGAGGGGGGGGGGGACTGCAAATTTTCAATCGGCAATGCTATACAATATAGTGCTGTATTTAACAACGCATATGTGTAGTCCTTGGTATATTTGTATTGCTGGGGGAAGATTAAAATAAATTTTTATATTTATTTAATTCCATTAAATAAAGGGGGAATTATATATTCCACACCATAATAAACAAATAGTGTCATAGTCCTCATTTACACTACTAAGTATTGGCCTGCATGGAAGTTTTCTTACTGAGTGCCTGAGCAAGTGAGGATTATATTTTATACTGTAATTATTACCGATTATATCGTATATATGAAACCAAAGAGTCAAAAAGGTACATCAGACGATACATCCATTAGAGAGTTATTTGAATCAGAAACG